CTCTGCCGACGCCCACACCACCGCCATCAGCACCACCACCGACGCTGTCCGTCCCCTACCTCCCTGTTTGTCTCCCTTTCGTCCTTCGGTGATCTTTTCCATTTTTTACTTCTACAATAACGTACGACGACATTCGTCCTGTATCAGTTTATTACATCGATCGATCGATTCTTTCACTCGTCTCGACGATTAAAGCTTCACTGAATTTTCTATCACTCAACATGACGCTAATCAAATACGATGGTAGCTGTTTAAAAATACAAAACGTCCAAGCGACGCGGTCGCACAATTTTCCCCCAGATTAGAATTTTCAAGAGATTTCCTCGTTAGACCCGGGAAACTTTGTAACCGCCGCCGAGTAAGACCCGACCTAACCAGGCCAGTTAATAAGAAGTTGACTCGGGGAAACAAAAGGAGGGAGAAGGATGTGAGCAAGAAAGTTTACACGGAACTCTCGACGCATAATTACGGACGCAACGGCTACGAACGGAATTTAATTCCGGAATCGGGTAGCGAATTCGTAATCGGACCGCTGATTACGGAACCATTCCCTTACGGTTCCACGCGATCACGTTTTTACGATAGGTGGAACTGCTTCTCCAGTTTTGTTATTGCGCTTCTTTCTTTTACACGTTCGGTAGAAAATTAAATTCTGACTTTTTCAATAATCATGACAATATTCTTAAAAATAAAGGAAATTGCGTATAATACATTCTCTAATTGCGAAGTGCGAATGAGTAGAAGAAACATTCAGCTATCGGAGGAATTCGCATTTTTGTTGGAATTAAAAGCATGAAATGTTGAGACGTTTCCTCGGCGTAATTTCAAGGTTGTCTGCCGTGTAATAACATAGACAAAGATCTTTCTTTTATCTGGACGGACACGAGAGAAACGTAGATCGGACTGTAGTCGTCGAATTAGTTTCCAGGTAGACTGGGACAAGATTCTAACGGTACCACGCGACTCGATCCGAACTGTGGGGCAGGATGGGATGGAATGGCATGGAGTTATGTACAAGGCGGCGCGGGCGGTTCAGTGACCGACCGACCGACCAACCGATCGACTGCTCGCTGCTTCGTCGCGTCCGGAGAAAAGAGCAAGGTGAAAAAAGGAAGAGATAGGACAGAAGGGTTCCCCGGTGTACTTCGTTTCAGAAGTGGTGCTTGTCTCGTTACTTGCGGTCTCGTAACTCGATTCTTAACCGGATATCATTTGCACGACGACGTGTTGATGGCAAAAAGGTGGAAGCAACGAGTAAATTAACACCCGATGAATTATCTCGCATCATTCGCTTGGATCCGTACGCGAGGATCGAACAGCTACGTAAACAGTGTACTTGGTTCATTCGTGGAGATAAATTGATTTCGGAAATAATAGTGTTTAAGAATCGTTGATACGGTTCTTATATCTATAATCTAACACACATCGATTGTCGCAGCGATGACTCGATGCATTCCAATTACGTAAGTGGTGCTGGGAACGTATCATCTGCCGAGGGATCGAAAAACCTCCAGCAAGATTTTCTCGTGGAAACTCAATACGAATACTACCGAGGCGAGCGATTGCATTCAGTTTCGTTGTTTCGCCGCGGCTCAGCGGTTGATGCAATTTTCGAGATCACGCAAAAGTTTTCCCCGCGATATAAACGCTCGACGCCACCCCTCTCTTACATCATTCGATTCACCTACGCGTGCACACTATCCACGCTTGCCCCTTGATCAGTCGAATAAATTACGCAATTTCCTTTCACGCTTCTACTTCGCGATTCGTTTCCTTTTCACTGTGACTCGACGTTCGTAGTATTGTGTTTTTCTGTTGGAACGTTTGTGGGGAGGAATGGGGACAACGCTGCGCCGTCGAAATAGACTCTCTTCCCTTTCGTTCGTAACATCGAATCATGCAAATGTGCACCGAGTGACACGGAAAACCGCTCTCAACAGTTTCAACCCTTAGTTACACTCGTAATTACGCACGTGCAGGCGCGCTATGTTACGTGTAAATTATACGTGCGATGTCATTTTACTATTGGTCCCTTCATGACTTTCAGAATAACACGATGAGAAATATGAAGTCCTGGTTTGACCACGGTCGATTTTATTCTACTTTGAAGTTCGATGCCGGTGGAACGGTCGGCAAAAGTTAAGTTAAACGTACTTTTTAATTAAGCGACTTCTCCGGCCAAGGTTAATTATCGTCTTTTATGTATCTCCAGTATCATTGAGTCTCGAGCCCTTACTCGTTACTCAACAATCGTTTCCTCTCTGAAAAGGAAACGAGTCTCATCGCGAGAGCTGCGCACGCTATCTTACTGACACACCTATTTAGAGAGCGCAAGGAAGGTCAGCCTATTAATAGAGCAACCTGGGATCATCGGGCTTTTGAACATCGAAAATTCTATCGTTATCTTATATAATGGAATATCTCGTTTAATCGTTTAAGACGCTCGGTTATGAACAGTTCAGGACTATCCGATGAATCCTCGCAACTGTCCGTGACATAATCGTGTATATATTTCCGAACGAAAGTAGAGCTATTATTAGCCGTCGGGTCGATACTTTTACTACTCTTTCTGTTTCCCTTCAGAACTACAAGATACGATCATGTTTCCGCTAGTTTTACATAAAACTTTTCACACAGGCCAATAGTAATTGCAGTCGCAATTTCATCGTTAACGCGACTAGGAAAGCAGCAGAACTAGGGGGGAAAGCTATCAGCGGAGGGAATAAGAAGTACGTGGATCGAAAGGGTGAGGCAGTAATAACGAGAACGTTGGGAGCACGGTGGAAACTTCGGCCGGTCGTGAAAGTGCCGTAAGTCACGTTTTAACGAGCGCCCGATTTATACCGTCGCCGTTCCACTGACCTCGCAACCACGATACCACCGGCGCGCACGTCCCCGTACCCTCTCGCGCGAAATACTACAAAATTCGACGCGTATCGCATGCGAAAATAAGCGCCGTCGATCATTTCGAATCGATACAGCGGCCACGCGCGTTAACTGCGCTTGCAGTTTATCACGTCCTTCGTTCCGTTCGTTTTCGTTTATCGTTCCAACTGCTAACAGCATTGCGAATAAACCACGCCAAACTGCTTTTTTAACTGCGCGTTATATCGCACGGGAAACTTTAGTCCTGCGTAGACAGTCGCAGGCAATTAACTTTAAATTAACTCGTCCATCAACTTATTTCCTTGCACTCCTTTTCACCCGTATATACTCCGAGGCGAGCTCAGTCGGTTCCCACATTGGCGAACGCACGTGCTCGCGTAGATATGCAAATCGATATTGCCCGTGTCCCTATGTAGCATCTAATTGTCTGTCATAAGCATATAATCGCGCAGGTATCCGTGCATGTTTTAGCGTTCTCGTGTAGGTGCGCGTTGCACGTACACTCGCACGTTCAGGCGTATCTGTTACGGCTGCGTGTACCAATCTTACGTTATACTTCTACTTCTGAATAATGATAGGGATTTCTGAATGTATGAGCAACGACTATTACAGTGATTTATGCTTCTGATTCGTAAGCAGTCGATGCCTATAGCTGATATTTTATGACTAATAAAATAGAATTCGTCGATGCTATTATGAAAATTGGAATTGCTAATAAGAAGCGTTACCATACTTTTCTAAGTAGTCGAATAGGTTTTAATAGCTAGCATGTGCGATATAAACAATCTCTCTCTGGTGTTAAGATATAACGCACGATCTGTATCAGTACATGTGTAAACGCGATCGTGCGTATCTACCATGCATCCATTTGTTTCTACAGGCGTCGAGTTGCATTTCGCATGTTCCAAGTGACAACGCTCGGTAACAAGTTTATAAACTTTTAATGAACGTATTATTGCGAAGCGCTTTTATTATTTAACATGTAAAAGTCAATAACGTCGTACCTGGTAATGTAAATAGCACGCGGGTGAAGATCAATTTTAGTCATCGCGTTGCATAAACGAAGATTCCTTAATTATTCCTCAGTGTTTAATTCGATTGAAATTCTTAATTTGTAAATCGGAAACAGAAATAAAAAACTATAATAATACATTGGGTGGAGTCACCGAGGAGATACTATTAAAGATTGACAGTACCCGTGTAATCCTTGAGACAGCTCAAACCACAGTCAGTGATCGTTTTTTTCGATGGTAATCGGCACTGAGGAAGATGCAGATACAACTTTTGTTTGAAACACTTTTCGCTAGAACGAAGAAAGAACTTTGCAATAAACAATTTTATTTATTAATTAATTATTGACGCTAACGAAAAACGTTGTAAACAAAAGTTATAGGCACTGACGTCCTCTACAAGAAAGACTATGAATTTTTCTCCTAACTCCGGTATTTAACGAATTAAGTATGATTAATCAGCATTTGATTGGTATTGACAAAGTCAACAGCAAACTTTTGGGAAAAGTTTAATTTTTCCTCAAATGCTCCTAAACCCTTGGACCTACGAGGAATTGTATAGGACCTTATTTGTAGCTGACAACTAAAGCTACAAGTCGGAAACATTTTTCGCTAGCGTTGATAGTTAACAAGTACTTGACAAACAACGAAAAAATAGTTTATTGCAAAGTATTCGTTAACTATCGACGAAAAAAAAAATATTTCATAAGAAAGTTGTAGTTTTTGACGGTACTAACAGCAATTGAATTAATGGGATAAGCAAATTCTAATTTCATAGTAAAAAAAGAAAAATCTAAGAATTATTCTATATCAATGTTTGGAGACTGCATTGTCACCTACTGGTGTAAATTTTATTCTCTTACCCAACCGAACTTTATCATCTGATTAAATTATCGTAAATAAATGAAATACGATACTTCCGATATTTGGGACAATTTGAGGATTTAATAAACGGAATGTGATCGCGAAATTTAATAAATGAATCCTCTTCTTACAATTTTTTTCAAATAATCATTTAAAGTGTCGATAGGGCATGGTGACATCATCTAGCGGTGGAATCTAAATGTTCATGAAGCAATGTATGTAGCATTCTAAATCCGGCAACTTCAGACAAAATAAATGCTACCATATTTACTAGTATAGCTAGTATACAGTGCACAGAATGAGAGCAGTTATGCGTTGTTTTAAATTTAAAAAAGTTATATGCAATCGTTAAAGTCGCGCATAAAGTTTCCTTCCACTGTATCTAGTTAAACACAATTGAAAGGAATAACATTTTCCGAGTGATGTAAGGATAATGCAGAAACGTTGACAGTGCTATCGTAGTTGTTAAATAAACTATTCCTACGGCAATAGAAAAACAGTGCAAGGAGAAACAATACAAAAACAATACCTCTGTTACTGTATTATAAATGGCCCTATTATTCACAAGCATGTGGGACTCGACAATGTTTCTGAGCACCTTAACCCCGAAGTTCTACGTCGCTCTTACCGGAACATCGTCCCTGATCTCCGGATTAATCCTGATCTTCGAATGGTGGTATTTCCGAAAGTATGGTACATCTTTCATTGAACAAGTATCATTAAATCATATTTCACCATGGATCGGGGGAGGTGACAATGGATCAGATGGTAGTAGCTCGGGTTTAAATGGTTCAAGTTCAAATCAACAAAATGTTCCGGAGTGTAAAGTTTGGCGTAATCCTATAAATTTATTCAGAGGTGCAGAATATCAAAGGTTTTATTGGACCACGAACAAAGAACCATTAACGTATTATGATATGAATTTATCTGCTCAAGATCATCAAACGTTTTTCACCTGCGAGGGTGATACAGGTAAATGGAATACTATTCGGTACTGGTACATTAGAAGAATTCAAGAGTAATAATTATCTTTATTTTTATAGGTAAGGCTGAATATGAAATTATGCAAACAGCATGGAGAGAACGAAATCCAGTTGTGAGAATAAAAGCTGCTCACAGTGCTCTCGAGCGAAATCCTGATTGTGCTCCTGCATACATTTTATTAGCTGAGGAAGAAGCTACTACTATTGTAGAAGCAGAGAAGATTTTGAAGCAAGCTTTGAAAGTAGCAGAAAATAATTACAGAAGGTCTCAGAGCACTCAGCATCAAGGTGCCATTGCAGAAGCTATACACAGGAGGGATACGAACGTATTAATATATGTTAAACGAAGATTAGCCATGTGCGCGAGGAAATTGGGGAAATTGAAAGAGGCGATAAAAATGTTTAGAGATTTGACTAAGGAAGTTCCACCGATCATGAACGTATTAAACATTCACGAGAATTTAATCGAAGTTCTATTGGAATCGCAGGCGTACGCAGACGTCCAAGCAGTATTAGCGAAGTACGATGATATAAGTCTACCGAAATCTGCGACTATTTGTTATACTGCAGCGTTGCTGAAAGCGCGAGTAGTTGCTGATAAATTCTCAACGGACATCGCTAGCAAAAGGGGTTTAACTACACCGGAGATGATAGCAGTCGAAGCTATTCACAGAGCCGTTGAATTCAACCCTCATGTACCTAAATATTTGTTAGAAATGAAACCTTTAATTTTACCGCCTGAACACGTACTGAAAAGAGGAGACTCCGAAGCGATCGCTTATGCATTCTTCCACCTTCATCATTGGAAGCAGGTGGAAGGAGCACTTAATTTATTACATTGTACGTGGGAAGGAACGTTCAGGATGTTGCCCTATCCTCTAGAAAGAGGACATTTGTTTTATCCGTACCCAACTTGCACAGAGTGCGCGGATCGCGAACTCTTACCCTCGTTTCACGACGTGAGCGTTTACCCTAAAAAGGAGTTACCGTTTTTCATTTTGTTTACCGCGGGCCTGTGTTCCTTCACAGCACTCTTAGCGCTTTTGACGCACCAGTATCCCGATACTATGGGCGTAGTTGCCCGATCGATGCTCGCTTGGTTCTCCCATCCGTTTTATTATATTTTAGACAAATTAGAAGCTATCTTGCCCTCTAATTTATTACAACAGCTCTCTAGAATATAAGACATATATGATCTCTGTAATCATGACTCTTATTGTGATATTTATGACACTTATGCTTTCGTTGTCATATACATCAATTACATGTATACATTCGTACTTCCCAAATTTCTTATGACTCATATCCTAATATGTACGTATTTATAAAATTGATTATTTACTGAATGTTGTTAGCTGAAAACGCTGTGTAGCGATCAGTACATGTACGACTAATAAAAATTTGAATATCTTTGAATCAGTTCTCCATGTATCTCCTACTATTTTGTTTAATCTAAGACAGGTTGTATCAATCAACAATCGATTTGATTAGATTTCATATTTATTTAATAATTGATATTATCAGTAGCTCATAATTGGTGGCGAAAGAACAAGGCAAATCAGAGATACTAATGTTTGAAATTGTACATAACATCGTGGAATTTATTAAATGAAATTAGTAATAGAAAAATGTTGATAATATTTACAATTGCTTAGAGTGAACAGTAGAATCGCGCTAAAAATGTTAAACGAAAATGAGTGCAACGTAAATCATAATTAAAATGCGAAGTATTTTGAGCATTATGCAATATCAATTATCTTTAATCTCTGATCCGCCTTTCCATCACGAGACGTTTACGATAGAAGAAAGAGTTAAGACACTTGGAAGTCAGAGAGCCCAGGTTTCATACGCGGGGCTGGCTCGCTATGACTTTGATTTTGCTTCAAACATTCAATCTCGATTGATCTTAAACCGATAAGTGATAAAATTTGTCACTTTATATACAATACCTCTTTCATTTTATAATTTACTTACTTAAAACGAACATACGTAACGCAGAGATACTATTAAATAACTATTATCTTCACACAACTAAGATAATTCGCGTTATGACTATTTTAATGTATGTGTGTAATAAGAACATGTAAAAACTTTCAGATGTGTGACTCTTAAATTTTACTATGCAGTTATCTTTATCGTATCGTTACAATTAAAAGTATTTATAGCAGTAATAATCTATAAAGTAGGAAATAGTTTTGAGTATTCATCTCCTGCTAATATCTGAGCTTGAGTACACGCTTGCTTCTTTCACTCGATATTCCATGCGAATCTTTTAAACACCGTACAATTTCTCTTCTCGCGCCGCCGTGGTGGGATTTTCTATTGCCGAAGAAACAACTACGAAAAGAATTCGGCAAAAGTTCACGCAATACATTTATGTACAAACTATAGATTGTCCTTTTTTCTTTTTTTTAATCGATCAGTTCTTTCTGTAGATCAATACACGTAATCACTTCACTGTGTTCAGATTTGATCGTTTCGCCATTTCCTACAAATAAGGCACCTTTAACAAATTACGCTGTTATAGGCTATAACGATCTAGCAGTCCCAACATTCAGTCAATGTCACAAAGTCTGCACCGACAGTAGTTAACTCGTAGTTCATCAATAAGGCATACATAGTCATTTCAACGTATACAACAAAAACCAGTTATACATATTTAAAAGTACTTAACGTAACAATAAAAATTTCGCAACTCATTCCCTGTTTCGTTCATAGTTTCTTACATATACGAAGCATAAAATTTTTGCAAACAATACCTTTCACAAATCATTCTTATTTATTATTAAAAGTCGTATTTGTACAAGCTTTTATCAAAGATAACTCTTATAGAAACTAAGGAATAATTC